GGGCTATCTTCAGGGATAAACAAATCCCCCTCTATTCTTTGGGATTTATTTTCCAGTTCAATATTTGAACGTACATTCAAATCGCTTGAAGGAACATCCCTAATATAGGTACTGTTATCCTCTATAACCAAATGAGTTTGTATCGAACTTGAATCTATACTTTGTCTATTAGTCTCATCTGTTGCTTGCTCATAAAAAGTAGGTTCAGCATCTATGGTAGATTCCTTGTCTATCTTTTGATTTTTCTTAGCCTGTGCAGCTAATATACGTTCTAAATACGAGAATTTTTTTCTTGGTGGTGTTCCAATATCAACTGGTTCATATAGTGGCCGTACTTCATGCGGATCTGGAGAAACTGGCATGCCTTCAACTTCTGGGAGAGGCAAAGACTGATCAAAGTAGTTAAACTTAGGACTCTTTCTTTCGTTTTGATCACTTATTTCGGGTGACACAGCAGGTATTGCTTCTTGTGGTCCCATGGGTGCTTCAACATCTTCGGTTTCAGATTTGGTATCTTCCTTCTCGGTTTGTTCTTCTATCGCTATTTTACAGAATAATCGCAAATAGTCAATCGTTATAGGTCCAATATAATTTGGGTCAAAAGCCGTCCCTCCATTCTCCGTAATAATTAAAGATCGCCTTTTCCTCTTTTTATTGCCCATCGTAAAATTACTACTACTTCGTCTTTTATCTGTGTTTCTAGTAGGTGTCATGGTGTCTGGTAATAATCCTGGCATGGAATCTCTCCCTACCAGTGGAGTCGTAGGTCGAGACCGGGATCTTCGTCTTGATCTTCTCAGCGATCCAGGGGCGGAATTGCTTTCTTGACTTAATTTGGCGGTAATGGACGGTAATTCATGAGGAGGTAAATGAATGTCACTAGTTCTGAATATGGTCCTCCTTTGTGAGTAAAATGCAAAACTTTCGTCTATTCGAGAACTTTTTCTTAGAGGAGTGGATGGTTCAGTTACACTCCGTATACTGTTCCTCTGTCCACTATCATCCATCTTCTTGTTAGGTACTTAGGAACAAATCAGTGATAAGCGATTTGTTTACTATTATCATATTTTGTTTTTAGTACTACTATGCGCGACTAACTTTTTTAAAGCTAATTGAAATGAAAGGGCCTAGTATTTGATAATTCATTAATAAAGCAAAGAACCAATGAGTGAAGAAAGTTCGATTAGTGGAGATAATTTGCTTACAGCTTTGTTTTCGGGCACCACAGCAGCCGCAATTTCTTCAACGTTGACTTATCCATTAGACTGTATTAAAACCCAGCAGCAGCTTAATGATGTAGGGAGAATGCACAAATTTAATATTCCAGGTAACTATCCTAGTACAATTGCACAACTATTTAAGGGAGGAAGTGCATTGGTTATTGGTACGGTAATGAAGAATTCAGCAAGACTAGTTCTGTATAATTGGCTGACTAAATTTATGACCCTGGATGGTTCTGATGGTCACAAGAAGATTAGCGCTCCAAGAATTGTGATTGCCGGTGTTATGAGTGGATTCCTTGAAACCTTGTGGATAATTCCATTTGAAAACATTAAGATCACAATGATTCAGAATATGACATTACATAATGAGATTGTAAGAGCGGCAGAGCATGGAATCAAGTATGATGTTACTGGGACCACGGTGTTGAACAAACACCATAAGCCAATTGCCAATGTATTTAGTAAACAATACGTTTCTCCTCATGCATATTTCACAGCAGATATACTATCACACTATAAAGGGAATAATAAACCGACCAGCAGGTTCCAGGTTGCTTCAAAACACCAAGGTAGTAAAGAAATCTTAAAAGCTAAATACAATAAGCATCCCACCATGACCTTTCTTGGGACTATTCGTGAAATTTATTCCCTTAAAGGTCTAAGGGGTTTCCTGTCTGGTACTTGCATAACTATGGTCCGGCAAGTTGCTATTTCGACTGTATGGTTGTCAACTTATAATGCCACAAGACAGTTACTTGATCCACATAGCAATAGTAATGAACAAAGTTGGTTTGGGCATAAACATACCGCTATCCAACTGATCGGATTGCACTTATTATCTTCTGTGGCTGTCGTTGCAGCAACCGAACCTTTGGATGTAATCAAGAGTCACTTGCAGCTGAAAAACGGTAAACTGGTTTACAAGGATTCCTTATCAACTGCATACAGATTATTTATGGAACAAGGATATAGATCATTATGGAAAGGTGCCTTACCTAGAGGTATTAAAATTGCTGTGAATGGTGGATTGACTGCATCTATTTATACCTATGTTGATCAACTTGCCGGTGTTGCAGGAGGACAAACTGTATTTGCTGAATGAGTAATATTGGACAGTTTTCAATAGAATTATTATTCACTAAAATATACTATAATACATGAACTATTTATTTCTCTAAATATACAGGTATTAGGATTTCACCGCTCTTATGTATAACCCCGTTGAAGCTTTTGGCTAGTAATCCACCGCTAAAGCTAGGTTGGCTGAACCCGACTTCTTTTTTATTAAGCACAATTCCATACACGGAATGAACTAAAACTATATCGAGTAGCTTTCTTGCCAACCCGTATCGTCTCCATTTAGGTGCTACCCATATACGTGAAATTCCCAATTTAATCAGCTTGTTCACCTGGTTCGGCACCACTGTTTGAGTTCTATGAATTATCCATCGACATTGCTGGTCAACATCATGTATTGGCTCTGTTGTACATATCCCAATAGCTCTACCGTCTATTACTACAATAAAAGCTTTTCCTTGTATTGAACCTTCAGGATCTTTGTGCCATGCCTTACCATCTGATGCAGCATTTAGTTCACCGTTCACCACTTTCAATAATTCCTCCACTCGCTTCACCTGTTTACTTGACTTTCTGTCAATAGTTATAACCAAAGCCTCTTTGGCTGTCCCCTGTAGTTTCTTGGAGGTTGGTGGATTTTTGGCTTTAGAAGACGAGTCATCCAATATAGTAAACTTCTCAAGCACATTGCTACAGAATGATATAGGCCAAGGAATGCCATTGATAAAATTAAAATGGTATTTTTTATGAACTTCTTTATCCTTTGATACGTGGTTATAGTATGTCATACCGCATGTTGCACATGTAGTAGATTGAGATGCATTTGGTGAAGATGAAGGGAAATTTAATACTGTCTGGACTTTTTTATCCAGATTCGTTGCCTTACGTTTTTTATCATTTCTGAAAGGCAGCTGAGACAAATCGGGTGATAGTAGCTGAGTTATATCTCTCTTCATAAAATTTTCCGCCCTTGTCAACCTATCAAACTGATCATAAAAAGGGTTGATTTCGTAAACAATTTTTGGACTCTGTCTCCATGCGCTCCACAATTAATGAAAAATTCGGAAATTCGAAATTTCCACTTGATTTCTTTATAAAGTTAATATACATATAAATAAAAATGTCTTCATCTTACGCTAATTTACTTCCTGCCAATGGTAAGTGGAAACAATTAATTACCGATTACTTACAAGAAGATGTGCCATCTTTTGATTTTGGTGCATTCGTGGTTGGTAACAAACAAGAAACTGCTTCTTTATACATGAAGCAAGCAGGATTGATCTCGGGAGTTCCATTTGCGGCAGAAGTCTTCAAACAATGTGAATTAGAAGTTGAATGGCTTCATAAGGAAGGAGAGTTTATCACTGACGATGTGATACAAAAGAATAAAGGAAAGATAGTTGTTGCCGTAGTTAAGGGCCCGGCGAACAAGATTTTGTTAGCAGAAAGAACTGCCTTGAACTTATTGGCTAGATCTTCTGGTATTGCTACCCAATCTCGTTTGACCAAAAACTTGGCTGATGAAAGTGGTTACACTGGGCTTATTGCTGGTACAAGAAAAACTACTCCGGGTCTCAGACAACTCGAAAAATATTCCATGTTAATTGGAGGTGTTGATACCCATAGATACGACTTAAGTTCTATGGTAATGTTGAAAGACAACCACATAACTTCTACTGGTAGTATTACTGAAGCTGTTAAGAGTGCCAGATCTGTCTGTGGGTTTGCTGTTAAGGTTGAAGTAGAAGTAAGCACTGAAGAAGATGCTCGTGAAGCCATTGATGCTGGAGCTGATGTTATAATGTTAGATAACTTCAAAGGTCCTGAATTGCAAAAAGTTGCTCAAAGTTTGAAGAAGCACTACGAAGGTAAGCTGAAGTCATTCTTATTGGAATGCTCTGGTGGTTTGACCCTTTCTAATTTAAGCAGTTACTTGTGTAATGATATTGATATTTATTCAACCTCCTCCATCCATCAAGGATGTGGAATCGTTGACTTCTCGTTGAAAATAAATAGTGATTAGTTATATATATAGATGAATCAACTTATTGACTAGCGTATAGATGAAATACTTGAAAACTCCAAACTCTGAAACCCCGAATTGAACCCTATAACCTCAGATACATTGTTCAAAATCTTATTTGTTTCTTTGTCCGGATCATCATCAGTAATGTCATCATAACCATCGTCAACTAGATCAATTGAATTTTTATGCGTAAATGATATTGGATTATCACTCAAATTTTGGACAATCTCATTATTTAACAGTAGCCCAGAAGCATTACTAAACCCACTGGTAAGATTGAGATCTTTTAAGATGTCTCCTACTAAACTAGGAGGAGCAATATCATTCACTGGAGGCTTGATTGTAGTAGATTTTTTACCGAAGCATCTGACTGCTCGTATACGTGTATCCTTTCCATCTTGATGGTTTGCTAAAATTACTAGTTTGACAGTAAAGCACTTTAGTACCCCATCATTCCTTATGGCATTAAAAATTATATGTGACCAGCCAATTGGCTTATTAAAATTAACAGTGCATACTTCACTCAAATCCCAGCCATCTGAAGTACCCGCTAAGATTCGAATCTTAGAAGGAGTATACGATTCATCGGCTGAAAAATTGGTAAATATTGATATTCTTTCTAACGATACTTTTTTCGAAAATTGTATAGTTATCGAATGTGGATTTGAAAGTTGGTTATTTGTTATGGCATTCCCATTTGTAGCATTTATGTTATTACTTCCATTACTTCCATCTGATTGCCAATAGCTATCTGACGAATCTTCCCGCAATTGACTTAAACCAAATTCTTGCTTAGATGATGAAAGCTTCCAATTGGCTAGCGGTGAGATATCAATAAGTTGTAAGTTATCTAACATTTGTAATCCCTTTGTATAATACACCCTTTGTATTTGCTCTAATGTGGGCTGGTCTGTACCTGTAAATGAATCTCCTCCTGTACACATTTCGTCTCCATCCTCATCTTCCTGTTGGTATATTCCTTCCTCAATATAGTTGTTATTTTCAGATGTTGAAACAGAAGCTATAGAATCTATGAGCTCTTCTGGTGGTATAATTTCTTGTGTTTCTAGTTGATGCAGCAGTGAAGCTACTGCATTTATAGACGAATTATAGATCGGTTCCATCCTACTATTTGATTCATTCGCCTGGAATTCATTATTCCCTGATTGATCCCAAGAACTGGCTGATCTCATTTCATACGTATAATGCCACAGAGATCCATGTAACTATTAATCCTTGCCTTTAGCAGCATATAATCTTCGGGGTTGATCTGTTTACAAATAAAAACATATGTTACACAAAATTGCTAATCATAATAAATAGGTTTTCGTTTTTGAAACTATATCTTTATTTATGTCACTATAATGAAATTCAAATACGTAATATGTAATCCTAACCATACAACAAGGAAAAAATTTTGCGGTTCAATGTAACAAGTCAGAAAAATAATATAGAACAAATGCTAAAAATCAAACCAATCATACGAGGTATTATAACGCAACATCGTTCAAGTCTTCAGCTACTTCTTCTACACCGTCCGTTTCATTTTGTTTTTGTTTTTGTTGTTGCTTCTTAGCTTTCTTGTTTTGATTCTTTTTTTGAGATTTTGTTAAAGGTTTTGTATCCTTGTTCTCTTCCTCTTCAGGAGCATCTTCTTTGTCTTCTTCGTTTTCTTGTTCTTTTTCTTGTTCTTTTTCTTCCTTGTTATCTTCTTCCCTGGCCGAAGTTTCTACGGCTTCTGGCTTTTCTTCTACGATGTCATCATTTTGCTTTATTTGTTCTTCCGGTTGGGCAACCTCTTCCTTGATACTTTCCACTTCAGGTTTCTTCACTGGCTCTTCTGGAAGTTTCTTTTCTTCATCAATAAGAGTTTCCTTGGGTAAAGCAACCTTGCTGCTACTTTCCATATTTATCAAAGGATTTTGTGACTTGTTTGCATTGGCAGTTGTACCAGATATACTGGGGCTGGCTGCTCTAACAGGAGAGGATGCGCCACTAGCATTTGGTCTGGTATGTGCTATTCTTTGAGGGGTGAAAGAAGTAGAGAACTTATCGAGATTAGTTATACCAAACTTTTTTAAGGCTCTTCTCTTTAACACCTCTAAATAAGTAAGTTTACCCTTCATAGAGGTACCAAATTCTTTCTTATCTTTATCAATGAAACATAATTCACCTTGATCTTCTTGTCCATCACCAATCATGTAATCGTCATCATTTCTGGAACCATCCAAGAAACCACTATCTTGATCGTTTTGATCAATTTGAAAGTTTCCTAATTCCAAGTCAGAAACAAATCCAAAGATGAATTCTTGTAAATTTGATGCAATAACCAACTTTGTATCATAATCTCTACCAAAAATAATGATTTGACCCCAGTGACCTTGTGGACCTGGTGCTAAATCAATAGCAATTTGATTACCGCAGAAATCCTTCACAAATGGAATCCAACCACGGTGAGCGTAGTATGGTTGGATTGCATTTGGTGGAATCGACTTTTGGTTGGCAATAAACGAATTATTTATCCTGCTTTGATTGCCTTGTGCCTCAGAAGCTGCAGAAGACGTAGCCTTCTGACTCTGCTGTTGCTGGTGCTGGAATATGTATTGCTGCTTTTCCAATCTTTGGTTGACCTTAGCCCAAATTGCATACTCCTCTACTATACCTTCTAAATCTAATAATGTCAAACCCATTATCATTCCTGTAGGCTTTCCACCTCTAAACTGTCCATCGTGTCTCTTATAAAATTGTCTTACTTCGACCGGTAACGATCCACACCCCAAATCGTTCTCAAACTCATTCAAATCTGCAGTAGTCACCCCATCATTCAAATTGTCTCCTAACTCTGGATATTCTTCTTCTAACCAGCTCTCAATACGATCCCACAATGAGTCTATCGATGGCAATGGCGGCTGTCCGCTTGCATTCAAATTTTGAAGCTGAAGATCCGACGAATTCGTGTTTGATGACCTCAACCCTGGTCTGTATCCAACTGTGGTCGATGACCCATTACGCGATAATGAAGTTCTGCTACCGTTAGCATTATTACCGCCCTCGATTAATGAATGACTCGATGAATTAGCTGTAGCCAAACGATTCAACTCGTGCAACCTTGAACTCGAATTACCGCCCCCAACTGTAGTTCCAACATTATTAATCGCTGAATTCTTATATGGTGAATCATAAGACGCATAATGATCCTCAGTAGTAATAGAGTGTACAAATGACTTAAAACTATCGACAATACCCATAATTTCTGTCCTTTTTGATCTATACACTTTGGTTTTTAATGTTGTTTTCAACGTAATTAATGTTTATTTTACTTGTGAACAAAGTAAGCGTGTCGTTTGTGAAATTTGCGATTTTCTTTATGCAGGAGATCCAATACTGTATCTCTATCTAGTCCAAAAATAGATTAATCTGCTAACTAGACTAAACTAATCTGCCTCTTAACGTGGAGTATTTTCATAATATATGAGGTTTCTGGCTTAATTTTAAATCGGTAGAATCGTCCGAAAAAAATTGTCTAGTTTTGGTAGGTTAAATTGGTATACTTTTATTAATACAGCTTGTAGTATGTATTGTTCGAAACATGAAATTCTTTAAGTAAATTCCATTATTATGATAGGATACGTGACACCTCGTTAAGGAGTTAATAATTTTCCTTAGATAACAAAATATGAACTCCTTGATATATTTGAGGACTTAAATTTAATGAAATTCGATGATGCGAAAGGGAATAGGTGCAATACTCTCTAGAAAACTGATATTCAGTTTTACATGCATAGATTGTATAGTTTAGTAGAAATGACTACTATACTTAGATATGGCTGTCAAGTGACGTAAAAGTAATGTTTACAGAAGTGAAAATTTATTATTCGATGTGTAGACTATCCGATGCTCTAATCTCATAGATTATAGACACTTTTTCCGTGAATGCAAAAAATACTTTTGGAGTGTTCACGGGTGCTATCAAGTCTGACACTTCATTTTTAGTGGTGTGTGGAACAAATTTGATTCCATAACGATTTGCTTATTGTTCGCCAACTGTTCAAAAGCTACATATTAATGCAAAATATCTAATTAAAGAAATACAGGAAAAAAAACAGAGAAAAGGTGGTGAAATTGTAACTAGGTAGAATTAGAATTGCTTCTTAAGAAATTTGTGATGGAGGTACCGAAGTAGCTGGTAAATAATTCAGGATCTGAGAAATCCAAATCAGAAAGACGAGTTGCATCTCTTATCAAATCGTATGCCAAATCTTCGCTAACCTTTGAGTCTTGTTTATACAATGGACTGCTGAGGGCCTTGTGTCTAATCCAGTGAGCAATTGTTGGGATCTTGCCTGAAGCTCTGTACGATATTAAACGTAAGTAGTTCTGGAGTTTCAACATTGTATTTGCGAGCTGCAGTGATTCGCAATGATGCTGAGAGGACTCCGGGAGCAATTCGGTAGCAACTAGCTTGATTATCAATTTAATCATACCCGGGAAGTCTTCGCCACCGTTGATAATTTCGTCAACAGTGTACTTGGATTCATTGTAATCACAGGGAGCATCATCTCGACTATTTCCGTTAATAACATTGTCCTTGGCATGGCTCGAGTACCCATTCACGTAAACATCGTCGACCCCTAACTCGTCGTTACCTCTATTAATAAATCTATCAAACCAGCTTAAGTCGTAACCAATGAATTCATCATTGTTGAGTCCCCACTTACACGATGCCTTGAACCAAAATTTATCCTTAAGAACAGAATCGACCTTGTGCGCTGTTTCCATATTCTCATCAACCTGCAGAATTGGAATATAGAAATCTGGTTTAAACTTTAATATAGCCTTGGACAATAATGCAATAAAAACAGAATATGCTGCATTCTCAAAATCAGTTAATTGAATTTCCATAGGACGGAATTCTACCCTCCAACCTGGTTTAGTCGCTAACTCTTGCGGTGTTGTATCTTTTGGATATAAGGCTGGAGGTTTAAATCTTAAAGTTTGCCAATTAGTTGATTGAAGGTTCTCAAAATGATCATTTTCTAGCTCATTATCTTGATCAATTCTCTCAGAGAATATCACTAATGGATCACGAATAAATAAATATGCAAAATGCTGTGCCATTATTGGATCAAATAACTTAGAGTCCATCAACTGTTCATATACTTTTGTATTCATAGGCATGTAAATATCGTTGTACTTATCTTTGAAATACACATCCGTTTTCTTAGAATATTTGTAGTCACTTAAATAACTGTTGATCGATTCATATCTTGACTTCGTGATTTTCTGGATTGGCTTTCCGTCAGTGGTCCTCAACTTAGTGTCACCGTACCTGTTACTGATACGATCACCATTAACACCACGGCCACCACCTAATGTTTCCATGTGTTTCTTGTCTTCATCTGCCACATCGAGTCCTCCAAAAAAGTCATACCCTGGATATGGTTCAACATCTCTCTCTATAAATGTTCTATCATCTACCGCGCCGCTTATAACATTCCATCTAACATCTTGGTTTACTAAAAAACCTTTGAAAATTGGAGCAGCTGCTGTCAAACTTAACATTATTGGTGTAAGAGGAGCTAATGTATCGTACAAGTATCTTGCTTCGTTTATTTCCTGAGCTTGCATAGTTACTTGTAAGCACGATGATCCCATTCCAAAACCCATTGAATCCATATAAACATGGCCTGGCTTTGAAGCTCCAAGCCACGGTTCTTTATCAGAGTCAAATAAATCACGATTTTTTGGAATGGAATCGTCTATCAACTTGGTGTTGATATCGGGATACATTGGCAAATTGATAGCGACCTTGCATCCTCTTCTTTTTCTAATATTCGCCGTTAAAGTCGGAAATCTTACATGACGATTAATGATTTCATCAGGCAAAAATAATGACTGCGATGCTGGGCCTATCGGTTTAGCAGGTGGTGAAGTAAAGTTATCACAACCCATTCTTGGAAAACTTGTTAAGGTAAGTGGTTTGATATTCTTTGGTAATTCCGACTCACTAACTTTTCTTCTTTGTATCATGTTTTCCTCAACATAAACATAATCGTCTAGCAAATCTCCATGGTACGGTCTTAAAGGGGTTGCTTCAATCATATACCTTCCATACTCTGGGTGAAACGAAATGTTGTTGCTGATCGATTTTTCGTACGATTCTGGCTTTTCAGGGTCGTTCAAATCGTTCAATATGTAGTCTTTATCGATCGCTAACCTGGCAGTTCTAGACTTCGAATCGATATCAACTAGCATATACTCAACCTCTTCTCCCCAGTAGAACGGATCCTGTACCCTCGTAGTAGAATGTTGCTTGAAGATGTTTATCAACTGTTTAATGCCGTTCTCTCTCACATGTTCGTTGAACTTATTGGCATCGTGCCAGTCTAATGGTGTACCCAACGATAACAATCCCATACTATACTTGAGTCGATAATTTGCAACTGATACTCTTAGAAGCTCACTTTGCTCGTTTGGCCTGTCTGTGAAGTAAAAAAAGTGCCAAAAACCAGGCGATCCGATTGTATTCTAACGTTTATGAAACTAAAAAAAGCTCACACCCAGAAAAAATTGAACTATTTACCACTTCTTCAGTGTAACTCTCGTTATTAGCAAATTTACAGGCTCTTATATAGCTATAGCAATCAGTTTCCAGTAAAGATTACTATGCTGGATGCCATTCAATTCTTAAATTAAAATTTCAAGCAGTAATTTGTCATATTCACGTGATTATTTTCAGCATACCCGGAATATCTTACAAGGATGTTGATACTATACAATAATGAAAGTCATCGTAGTGAATTTGCTTTCAATAAATGGCTAATTTGTAATGATGAAAGCTTTTATTTAAACTTTGAATTGAAAAAGAGATAATTGTAGTGGTAACATTGTTGTTGCATGTAAATGACATATTTTCACTAAAAAAAATAGCATCTAGCTGATATATAGACCTTACCATGCTATAGATATATTAGGTATATTACATTATTCAATTCTCGTTTACTTCTAATCATTATCCTATATCCCGATAGATAATTAATGATATTTCTGTTTGTGTAGATAAGATGTGGAAATTACTTTCATTTCGCAGCAATCTCATTTGTTGATTCTAAGCAAAACCATAAGTTTTTTTAGTTCATAATGGTTTATTGAAGCAATACAATACAGCTTTCATGATCAGGATTGAAAGAATAAACTTATTATTGACCAAATAGAATTTCCCAACAGTATCATCCATTTTGCACATCTAGGTTAAGGTAGCGAGTTACTAGCTACAACCAAAACAGTGAGAATAAAGAGAATCTCAAAAAGTGTATTCTATTCATATCGTCCGGGTCTTCACTCGAATTGTACTCGAAGCTTTGTGGAAATAATGAAAATGGACATGTTGGTATGTTCGGATTAATTTTTTAAGGAATTCTTAAAAATCGCAAACTTTTACCAAAATTCTTCGATCTAGGTTCAACACTTAAAATACCAAATGTTATGATCACTACTTATATACGAATATATTGGCATAAATACCAGCAGAGAAAAGTTCAGATCAAGTGTCTTATAATTCGCTTTTGAAGGTTACCTGGTGTTGAGGTACGTTTTGGCCTGTGGTTGCAAGCGCGGCTAATTGCTTTCCATTTTACCCAATTAGGAATGACTCAAAGAAAACCCACTTCATTTTGTCATAATACTAAATAACTAATACTAAAATCGCTTGTAAATAAGGTTAAAATTATGGATAAGTCCATCAGAATCCCCAGGACACGATCAAGGACCGGGTGCTTTACGTGTCGAAAAAGAAAGAAGAAGTGTGACGAGCTACTGTATCCGGTATGTCAGAATTGCCAGGAAAAGAATTTAGCTTGCCAATGGCCTCTGAAAAAGCATGAGTTTCATAAGAACATGGAGGAGGTGAAGTATATTGGCTACGATGATAAAGCCTCGAAGACGAGGGAAACTAACTCTCGTCAGTTAAAAAGAAATTCGGCTCAACTGCACAATTCGTACAGTGAAGACGAAACACAACCCAAGAAACGAAACGAGGGCCACAAGGGGCCCAAGGAGACTAGTTTTATGCAAATAAGGCCATTCAATGAAGCCGAAGATTTGCTATCTATTGATAATATTGAAAACGATATATCGTCAGCCCAAAACACAATGTATGGTAATAAGCTCCCACAGGATGTGCTAGTTCACCCCAGCGACTCCACGCCCGATACTTACGATAATGGAGCCAGTGATATTGAAAACCATGGCAAATATGCACCCATACGACATCCGACAGACTCGAATGCCATCAAAATGCTCGTACCCTCAAAACTTGATTCAATACAACTACAAAAGAAAAGACACAACTATTTCTTGGAGAGAATCGCCATGCAGCAGGATTGCGTAGATTCAGAAGATGAGATAACGGATATTGCACCTGTCAGTCCATTTGAAATTGATTCGTTGATCGATAATGACTACATTCTAAATGACAAAGACAAACAAGATTTGACCGATAGAGCACAGTCCCCCATCCCGAAAGCAGAATCATCCCTTAATGATTTAAATACACCAGAGACCGCTTTCCCAGATCAACTTACCATGGCTGGCTCCAACAAGGAAGCGAATGCTCCCAATTCACTTGTTCCACTGAAAACAGTAAAGTCTACACATAAAGGCGGCCTTCCGAACTAAGTCTGAATAAGACTACATACTCAGGAAATTACGGGCTTTCACCTCTAAACTAATAAATTTGCAATAACATTTATATTGCCTCTATAGCTCCTACCTTGCTTTCGTATATATATATGTATATATATATATATACATACCCATATCTCCGATGCTCGGAATGTAGAAGCGAAACCGGTTTAAAAATAGTGACACAAAAACATATTTTTATCAGCTACTTTTTGTCCGTAAAATGGTTGATAATTTATTACTTGTTTCGATAAGAAATTTATAACTAGTAATACCATAAGATAAGCCAAGGAAAGGGTTTAAAAGATTCAACTATTCAAGTATATTTATAAAATTTCAGGTATTCTTTTCTCCTTGAATAAAATTTTCAAATTCATATTTTTGTTGATTTTTATACTGTAAGAAGTATACTGAAAAATCGATCAGCAATAATATTCAAAAGTATTTTCTGATATAGAGTTGATATTAATACGCATCAGACGATATGACTTCTTTACATAATCCAGTTAACGACTCCCCAGAGTACTATCAAGACCAAGTACCAGCATCTACGTACTACAATCCGCATCCTAATGTCCAGCATCACCAAATTATTGATAATTTAGATTCAGCACCGAATTCTAATGGCTCATCTTCATATTATGGGGGCGAGCAACCAATAAGCCATGAATCTTCTGTCCCTACCAATAACTACGACGAGCAAACGTCACACACACCCACAAATGCACAATATTTCCAAGGTTCTCCAGATTCTCAATCCCAACAGTCTCAACAAAGTAGTCCAAATACTAATCAGGGTCCGATAGCACATGCACCTGTTGAACAGCCATTCTACGTTAATGCGAAGCAATACCACAGAATATTGAAAAGGCGGATAGCAAGAGCTAAATTGGAAGAAACTTTAAAAATAGCAAGAACGAGAAAACCATATTTACATGAATCAAGACATAAGCATGCAATGAGAAGACCAAGAGGACAAGGAGGGCGGTTCTTAACGGCCGCTGAGATCGCGGAGAAAGAAAGATTAGATAAATTAAAAGCCTTAGAGGATAAAGAGAAAACAGAGAATTTTAGTGGAGATCAACCCCAGGAGGAACAGAGCGATTCGTCAAAATCTTCTGCGACTTCCGCTACAGAAAAGGCTCCTTCGAATGCAGAAAATGCTCCTTCAAATGAGGATGATTCAATATTTCTGAATTTAATAAATGAAAATGGGAGCACGGAAGATTAATATTTATTACAAACGCTCTTATGTTTTTCAATTGTTCTTTTAGTTTTTTCAATAATGTTTTACTAGTGATTTTTTTAAAACTATTTATATGTAAAATTATATAATTTTTTGTAAATACTATGATCCATCTATCTACACACTGATATTACTTAATAGTTGGCGTGTTTCATCACTTAATTGGTTCAAAGCACCTAAGTTATTTAACTTTTCAATATTTGTCATAGCACCCATTTTTATTGAATTTTGATCATTATTTTTAACATTTGGCAATGGGTCAAATGGCTTTACTTGAATAGATATGATTTTTGAAAATTGTGATCCAAAAGATGATCCTTCTAAATCTAATTCATTTATTGGAACCGATGTTGTACCAATTTGTGCAGATGTTGTATTATTAACTGTACTACTTGACTTCAGTAATCCCCCAAGAGAAGTCAAATTTCTTACTAATTGATCAACAGTTGGAATAATCAAGCTTGAGTAGTTTCCTTTAGTGAACTGATCCGAATTGACCATTTCCAGTAATCCCAATGTTACCAATTTCTTATCTTGCAAGTTGGTTAAGCCTGACGAAGTTGGTAACATAAAGCTATTATAAATTTGAGGGAAGACACCAGGTTGTACTGAATCTATGAAACTAATAACGAAATCGGAATTGATTAAAGAATGGCACTTAGCATTTAATTCTTCATTCAATGGTATACAACATAATGAACTTATGAATACCACAAATTTTTTGATGAATTTTTCAGTCCTTGAATTTTTTAAACGGGTTAACAATAATATTGCCACTTGCTTCAAGTAATTTTCTAATATATTCAAGGGAATGCTCAAAAGAATTGACTCTAACAAATCGAAGCCATATATATCATTAACCTTTGAAGCAATTAATTTCTGAAATACACCTAATAATGGAGTTAAGCTTTGGTCGTTTGCGGTGAAAACAGATGGCTCTTGCTCTAATATAGCAATTAATAATCTCGTTACACCCGGAATGTTCCCACGATATTCCCAAACAGCTGGAGAAAGTAAAGGCTTAATTAATTGTTTGTAGCTTTCTGGAAGGGGTTTCGAATTTGGATACAATTCTAATAAAAATGCTAATATTTGGAAAGTGTAAGGAACAAACTCTTGCACATCTTCACTCAATATTTCTAATAACGAAGGTAAAATCAATTCAATATATTGATTAACTTTATCATAATCGTTAGTTCCAAATTTGACTAATAGACCTAAACTTTCAAAAATGTAGTGAGAAAACTTTGGATTGGATGGATTTTTAGCAATAATCTTCAAAATCTTCAACAATTGATCAATAATTGTAACCTTAAATGAGTCATCAATTAGGCCTTCAACCGTGTTCAACACTCTCATTATACACTTCATTAAGAATTCATTTTCAGCCAATTTTTCCGGGGAAGATTGGTCATTACTCAAAATCAACCTGAACAAATTAGTTAGCAAGTCATTAACAAAAGGTTGAACGTCATTCTTATTGAACACTGGAGAATGATTAACATCCGTGAAGCTGTTCATCGATAATAACTTTTCGATAGTGATGGACGAATAGGTGTAAACAACAGTGTTGGAATCTTGTAAATGATTAATCAACAATGGAAATGTTGTTAATAATTGTTCTTTAGTTAATTGATTTCTGAAAGTGAAAATGTACTTAATCGCATCAGTTTTTAAAATTGGATTCGTTGAATGATTAGTATTCATCAAGTCATTAGCAATGTTATCACTAAAGAATTTTACAACGTCAACTAAAACATTAGTGGATGTAACACCCACATTCGTAACACTTCCCTTTGCAGCCAATGAACTAAATAAGTAGATTGCAATATCTTTACTTTTCCAATCTGATTGTGATGATAAGAATTGATTTACATAATTCATTACTGTGTTCGTTAATAAACCGGTATTAACTTCTTTTAATTCCCTCAAAAAGTCAGTCGCTGATTTACGTCTAGAGTCAAAGTCAGATCCCTCTAAGTCAGATCTAACAAAGTTAATTGGCTCATCCTCAAACAATTCTTCATCAATCTCTCTAAAGTAGATGTTTGGCAAGATAATTTTTTCAATGATTTCCTTTAATGACGATTCATTATCAAAAAGTGGCTGGTATTTAGCCATTTTTGTTACGGATGTTAAAAATGATAAAGCTTTGACAACTAATAAATCAAACTTCTGTTGTTTGGTAACATAGCTATTAATCAATTTCCAGATAGTGGTGATGAAATTCTCGATAAGAGGTTCAAAAACATCGGCATAACGACTTACATATAACGAAACTAATTCAACAATCGATGTCTTTGTTTTGATTAGAACGTCGATTTCATCATCTGAATCTTGATCAGTAATTAGCGGAGTTTCTAATACCAAATACTTATGCATTATTTCCATTCCATTCATCATATGGTCCTCAAAGAATTCTGGAATATCCTGACTATTTAAATCGTAATAGATTTGAACTAGTAACAACAAGTTTTCAAAATAAATAGTCAACGAAGCCTTATCTTGTTTGTTCAAAGCTTCAGATATTAATTGATCGAGCTTATTCAATAAGGTCAAATAAGGTTCGGCAAATTTATCTAGCACTAACTTGATTTCCAAGAATAATTCGTCTGATCTGAAAAGAGGTCTCCACCTTTTAAAAATGGAATGAGCAACTAGGAGAATACCTTTATTCAGAACAAAGTCTTCTAAAGACAATTTCAGTACTAATTCATCTATAAGGTTATTCCAGTTATGAGGGAAGTCTGATTCGGCAATAATTGATATGGTTTCTCCTATTTGGATTTGTAATTGATTTGGCAACTTAATCATAATATCCAAAATTTCAGATTTAACATGGTTAATATCCGAAATTGGCAACAAATACTCGCCTTCTTCATTAACCCATTTTCTTTTAACGAGATTCTTAAAAAATAACACTCCCGCCAACCTAATGCTTGGAGATAGATTAGTCGAAGCAATAATATGTAACAAGTTTACTGAAAACCCTGGTTGATTTTCAATGGATTTCAATTGTGCTTCTGCTACCTTTGCATGTTGTGGTAGAAGTGATTGTTCTAAATATTTTGGAATTGACTCTAAACTATTTTCAGCCATTATACTCCGATCTATAATTAAAGCTTATGTATTAAATTGTTTGATTCCTTGGTTGTTTAAAAATTTCGAGATGATTTAGTTATAGAAAAACACGATTTTGTGTAATTTTTCATATTCTTAGAAGGTTCTTGAAAATAGCATTTATAAAAAGAAGTATACTAAAAAAGCAGCTTGCTTAGAAGAAACTAGATGTGATTATAGATACATGTAGCCAAAGAGTGAAGTTTTCTAAGGTCATTAGTTAAAATATCTGAATGTCTTGAAAAATTGCTATAAAGTAATGTTTGTCCATAGTTGCAAAATTGCATTAAGCTATTTTCAATAATACTATTCTAGGAACATGCTTCTGTATATATCGAGTTATGCAAGCTTCTATTTATCATATTGAAAATAAGACCAGCTTAATGCTCAACCATCTAGAAGAAACTGACAGACTCTCAGCAGTTTCCTACATTGTTATATATAAAACATCTATTAATAATAATAAAATTGAAAAAACACGATAAAAACAGGATTAATCCAAATATAATGATAACATATAAAGGATATAAGAAAAGAATATTTGTATAGTTCTAGAGTGGCTATGCAGAGAAATCAGATTCAATGCATTTAAGCCCTTCAACAGTAGTTTATTGCATTGATATACTTCGTAATGCAGGGATTATTTGGATGGTAACTGTTGAGAGTTTTCTTTTTGCTGCTTTTGCTTAGCGACGGCGTATACTAAACCAGCAACGAAACCAACAAAAATGGAGGAGACAGACCAGAAGTTAACGGCAGCATCGAAAAAGACTAAACCAGACAAAGCGATTGGCAACTTGTTCAAGGCACCAACCATGGAGTAAGTGGTTGAAGAAGTGACTCTGACACACCATGCGGAACAGTAAGAAATACCAACAGAGGAGGCACCACTGAAAATGATAGCCATAATGGTTGGGGTTCTGTTGCCGACAGGGAAGTTCAAGTTGATGTTGGCAGCAGACCAGTCTTCGAAGACAATGGACATGAAAATCAAGATAGGAATCGATAACAAGTTGTTGTAGTACATGGTGTCGAAATCCTTGAAGTTGGTCAACTTAATTCTCTTTCTCATAATTAAAACGAACGAAGCAGAAGCGAAACAGTTAGTGAACATCCAGAAGTAACCAGCGTACAAAGAAATGGTGTCGCTTGGTGACTTGGCATCTGAGGTATCTCCGTAGCATGCGATAACACTCGACAACACCATCAAAATGAATGATCCCAACGCCATGGTGGTAACCTTACCACCGAACCATAAAACTTCTCCATAAGCAATCAAAATAATTGTCAAGTTCTTGAAAATAGTGTAAACTGGGATACTCAAAAACTGTAACGCCTTAGAAGACGTGTAAATCATAGCAACCAATAAAACAGCGATAGGAGACCATTTTTTAGCTTCGTCCTTGTTGAACTGTCTGTAAGTAATAACTCCCAAAGCCTTCAAGGTTCCGATAGTAGCAATACAGATAATCGACTGACATGCCAACATGAAAAAATTCAAGTTAAAATCGTATCCTGATAACACATACTTGTTGGTAACTGTCATCAAAATCGATGAAGCACAGTACGAAAAAATAGACACTGGCGCTGAGTTAGCGACCGAGCTTAGGCTTGAATATGATGACTTTTCCATTATTCTGCTTGTTTGAAACCTGAATTTACCTTTAAACAAATATATAAGCTGTCCTAATAAATAAATCAGTATAATTCCCATGAAGTCAAAGGGTACCTGAGAACAACACACCGAAAAAAAAAATATACTCGTGTCTTTGTGTTACCTTTTTCGAGCTGGACGAGCCTTAGGTAATATGCAGAACAAACAGCCACGACGGCTGCTGGCTTACCCGGCTGGTTTAGCTGCAAAACAATAGGACCTGTTGTCATGGGCCGATATACAATAGATTATAGACGTATGATGCGATGTGAACAGAGAGCCAGAGGTAGGCGAGGCGGAATAGGGATGTAGTGTCAGGGGAACTCGAATGAAACGATCAAGGAGGGGGTAAGATAAGAAGAGGGAGAGACCGATAAGGATTCGGAGTGGTAGGCTAGATATTAGTAGGGGACATGGAGGAGCATAGATAGACATGAGTGGACTATTGTGGAGAGAAGGTAATTGTAGAACGATATTCCTTTCACCATTTACTAATGGATGATGTAGATTATCCGGTCCTCGCATTTCAACTAAGGATCAGAGGCTAAGCTGAGGATGCCACATGCGGACATATTGCTCATGATTATAAGGATAGACATACGATAGACTGTGAAAATACATACAAAGGAGGATAATTAGTAATGTGATATTATAATAGTAAGAAGTATATAATCGACAGTTTCGGCATTTTACTGTGATGGTAAGAAGTATATAATCGACAGTTTCAACATTATACTGTTATGGTAAAAAGTCTATAATGGCAGCTTCAATATTATACTGTTATGGTAAAAAGTCTATAATGGACAATTTCAATATTTATAATATTATAATGATACAGAAGTATATGAATAGACATATTTTCAATATAATATAATAATACTGAGTTACAAATGATAAACAGATGTAAATAATAATATTATGATGGTACAAGAAGTATATAATGCAGTATAGTACAAAGTCACAAGCAATACTAGACTGGTAAAGTGGCAGAACGGAATCTGACCAGGAATGTCTATGTAGAGAATGACTTACTGATAATCACCTCCATTATAAATACTGATGTCGACATCCGCCTTGACGTCAACATCGCACATATCAACGATCCCATTGGCATCGTGTTGTCTCAATCTCTGGTTTTGGGCTCTAATCTTTTCCAACTCTTGTAAGTAGTTGTCTTCGACTCCAGTAACATACGATCCGGTGAAAACACCAACCTCAAAGTTTTCAATTCCTGTTTGCTTACAACAGTCGATCAAATCCTGCAAGTCTTGGTAGAAAACTCTGTCGGCACCAATAGCCTCAGCGATTTCCTGCTCATTTCTATTGAACCCAATCAACGCCTTGGTATCCGCCAAATCAATCCCGTATATGTGGTTGAATCTGATTGGAGGAGCACACGAGGCAAAGAACACCCTTTTAGCACCGGCTTCTCTGGCCATCGCCACGATTTCCTTTGAAGTAGTACCTCTGACGATCGAGTCATCAACAAGCAAAACGCTACGTCCTTTGAATTCAGACTCCATCGCGTTCAACTTTCTTCTCACCGACGATGTTCTTTCTTTTTGGTCAGGCATAATAAACGTACGACCAACATATCTGTTCTTGACGAACCCTTCTCTGTAAGGAAGATTTAAAGAGACAGCACATTGCAATGCTGAAGTACGAGAAGTGTCTGGTACGGGAATCACAACATCGATCTCCTTAAGAATATCCTGTCCTGGGAATGATCTTATGATGTTTTGAGCTAATTTGTTACCCATATCGATTCTTGTTCTATAGACAGAAACCCCATCCAAAACAGAGTCTGGTCTGGCAAAATAAACGTATTCGAAAATATCTGGGGCAAATTCCTTTGGCTCGACAACTTGACGGAACTCAGGCTTGTTGTTACCGTTATTTCCCTTTGGAATAATAACGGCTTCACCAGGCTTGATATCTCTTAACTTATTGAAGCCATGTGCCTTCAATACAACGGATTCAGATGCTAACATGTAATCAATCGATCCATCAGCTTTGACTCTTTCACCAAACAATAACGGTCTGATACCGTTAGGATCACGGAATCCAATGATACCATAACCAGCTAACATAGCTACACACGCATATGCTCCTCTGATGAATTCCATAGTTCCCTTCAACGCTAAAAATAAATCTTGGTTGTTCACTCTTGACTTGTTAAATTTCTCTAATTCTGCCGCAAAGATGTTGAGAAGCAATTCGGAATCAGAATCAGTGTTAATATGACGGTGTACTTTTTCGTCAAGATAGTTTCTCAATTCGATCGAGTTCACCAAATTACCATTATGACTAATACAGATACCATAAGGCGAGTTCACATAGAATGGTTGAGCTTCGCTACCGGCACTAGAACCCGCAGTTGGGTAACGTAAATGTGTAATACCCATATTTCCAACCAAGTTATTCATTCTTTGTTGTGTGAAAACATCTCTGGCCATACCGTTCCCTTTGCACTGATAGAATCTACCTCTAGATCCGCATGTAACTATACCAGCTGCATCTTGACCTCTATGTTGTAAAAACATAGCACCTTCAAACAACTCATTTGCAACATTGGCATGCTCATCGGCACGTACGATACCCAAAATACCACACATGTTAACTTTAATATTAGACGTAGATTAAACTCAATAAAACTAAATAATTTTTTTTTTTATTGGACTTATATATTCTGACTCGAGAAAAAATTTCCGATGGGTTGTGCGTACAATTTAATTAATATTAATTACTCTTAGTAACAGGCTTCTAATTAGCTAAAATGGAATATATTTATGTTTAATTGCAGCACCTAAGTAGATTAAATTCATAAACGAAGAAAGATTAAATAAGATTTAATAAGATTGCATTTAAAATTTAAGTGAATTACACTTCAGTCTTTGGATAGGACATCTCGCACATTAACTCCCACCCATAGCCTTAAAATTATCTCTTTTTGCAATGTAGGATTTAATTCTCTTCGTGTTCCTTACAATGAAACTTCGTAAGATAGGGAACAATGAGCTGTATAGAGAAATCCAGAAAAAGTTGTTATTTGCAATAATTTCTTTTAATGATGGAGAACAGATATTTATACTCGCTAAAATGGCAGTTTATCTAAGAAGTTTTCCATGATATACACCTCTAATACAATCAACCTATCGATTGAAGTTAATGACAAAACTGACTGATACTAATCGTACTGATGAATATGACAGATACTTACTCTGGCGTAGAGCTCGCTGACATAAGTTTCGAGTCATACGACGGAAACTATCACTAAAACAAAGTAGAATTTACTAGCATGAAAGCACATCATATTATTGTTTCGTCTCGGCTATTTCTCTCTAGAAGAATTAGCTGTTCATGTATACTGGTCAAGTAAGCAAATAAGTTCATGTCGTATCAAAGTATTTGTCAGAAATTTGCTGAGACTTGAGAATTATTTTAGAGAAATAAGAACTAATTATACCTTCTTCAACACTGAGTTCCATATTTTTCTTCTCAATATGAATTAAGTTGAATTATTTTACTCTTATTGAATAGCATATATACTTGGTATAGGTTATCGAAGTTCTTTATTACATCTATCTACACAAGAACTGAAAATTAGTCTATTCAAATAGCCGTAACTATTTTATGACACTAAAAAAAAGAGGTTACCTTTTCGGTTTCTCTAGCTTCCATATTGTCAAAGCCTTGATAACTAGTATTCCAAAAAATTAGCTCATGACGTTGACAGAGAAAAGATCCATATTGTTAATAGGGTTTAAATCTGATTATGTAACCTAACCAGGTATTTCATTTTAGTATCTACTGAATAACTAAATACGGGACATATATATGTTTTTATGTTTCGCATATTATATATTTTAACGACGATAGTTTTTGCTGCAACTTACGTTGTAAGTGCTCCTAACAGTTATAGAAGTAACAAATATTACGACAATTTATTGAACGCCTGTGGAAGTGAAGAAGTGGTAAAGGAATCTGAAAATGTTGAATCAACTCTGGGTCAATCGTTCATGGGTAAAACTGAGTCAGATACACTAAATTCAACTTTATTTGGCATATGCGACGTTAGTAGCCAAACGATATTGAGTGTCAATACTAATGCAACTAGCTTACAGAGTCAGATAGAAATTAAGTTTGGATTAAATGAAACCAATAGATATCGAGTGGTATCCATGAACGAAACAATGAAATATGTAGGCAACTTCCCGCCAGAAAAATTCAGTTGGTCGCAGATAGTGAACTATGTTCTATGCTATATTGTCGGAGGGTCTGTTTTATTGTTGGCGAAAACTTGTACAAAGTCGAATGTTCTTATCAAGGTATACATTATATACGTATACACAGGGGCTGCACCGGTCATATTCTTGAGGATCATTTTCTCAATGGTCTGGTATTTTGGGAGGTGGCTGTTGGAGAGATTAAATGCTACATTTCGAACAGTCACAGAGGAGGCTGAAAAATAATGCAACAGGTGAATGAAGCTACTGGCAGTGATTGAGCGCTGTTTGTCATTTAAAAAAATTCTTACGCTTTAAACAAGGAGCAAAATACGTTCAAATCAAATGTTTCTGAGGTGACATGTATCATAATCATTCGGTAATTGTGGGATGGGTGAATCGAGTTCCGATTTTCCTGTAATAGATTTTGAAACTGCTTTCCTAATAAAAGAAAAAAAGTTTAGTATCTGGTCCTTCTGATAGAGTGTAGCCCCAAATTAGTTCAAATATAATAATTTAAATATTTCTAGACTAAACCTAAAGTTTTAAGAGCCAATTATGTTTTTTATTAGATAAAATAAAATCTATATACAATGGTAAAGCTTAACAAACAAAAAGGAAGTATTCACCATCACCATCTAATCAGCAAACG